CCCCCGTCGGCCGCATCTCGCCCCCTTTGGCCTTTGGGGAGGCGAGGGGCGGGGGCAGGGCCGGGGGCAGGGCCGCGCCTGGACGGGGCGGGATGGAGTGGCCCCCCGCGCAGGGGGAGCCCAGGGCCCCCGCGAGCGCCAGGGGGGACAAAACTTTCCCCAAAGTTTGTGCCCGAAGCACGGGTACAAACCACGGTGTGTCCCCCGACTCTTTCTGTGACGGGGAAAGCAACAGGGGCCAAGCACCAGGCTGCGGCTCAGGCCTTTCCCCACGTTTCCCTCTCCACTTGTGTCAGGGACTGGGAAGCTCTGCACAGAGCCGCGGCCAGGGAGCTCAGCTGGTAACAACCCGCATGCGGCTCTGCTCGCTCCAGTGCTGCAGCTCCCGCGGATGCCCAGGTTCAGGGCTGGGCTGTGCTGGGGCAGATGGGACACAGCTTCACCAGAGCATCCTGGTGCCCACGTGGGAATCACATGTGGGGACAGACATGGGGAAGAGCCGGTGACACGATGGGAATGGCCCCTTTGTCTGCAGTCCTGGCAGCCCCCTGGCTCCAGCATCCTTCAAACCACTTCCAGATGGCTGCGGCAGGGGAGCACCCGGCCATGCAGCCTGTACGGAGCCGGCGCCCAGCTGCGGCCTGAAGCCTGCTGAAACGCAGCAAGCGCTTGGTACGCCCCGGAGCAACGTGCACAGGCAGCGCAGCGAAGGCAGACGTGGTCCTGCTCACAGCCGCTTTCTGCTTTGCTCACTAGTTTGCGTGGTGCTCGGGGCACGGTGCCTGGCGCTAAGCTCGTTTTTGTCTGCAGAGAGCAGGGCTCTGGTTTCTAAAATTACCGGGTAAAAAGGCATCTTCTTACTCAGCAGATTTGCCCCCTGTTTGCGCTCATTGTGAGAGCTGCTGACTTCAGTGACAAGCAAGTTGTTACTGCGTTTTGTTCCTGCCAGCACTGCAAAGCTCAGGGCCCTGGAACCCTGTGCTGGGCCTAGCTGGCCCCGGCCGTGCTGTGGCCTCCACAGCGTCTCCCCCGGGCTGGGGGCAGACGGCATGAACCAGCGCTGGCCCTGGCACCCTCCTTATGAGCTGCAAGTAAGTGAGCAGAAGAATCCAGCTCTGAGCCGAGTTTTCAAGAAAGGGCCGACCTGCCTTCGGTGCCAATTGCAATGTCCATCATGGCACTCCCGGGGGCATCGCAGTGACCGGGTGTGCACACCTGCACATCCATCACTCAGTGTCCAAATAAGAGCAACAGGAACAACTTGGCCGAGTGTTTTGCAAAGTTTCCTCCATGTCTTGTCTTGTTCAGTCTCAAAAACCAAAATGTGAACTATGAAAAAAGCATCACCTACTGATACTCAAAAACAATCTAAATAATCCTGCTTACGACTAAGGGTGTATTTTTTGCTTGCAGGGAGCTCGCCCTACTATCTGCAGCTCCTCCCCGTGCTCTCTCCTGTTGCATCCTGGTGATGCAAGTGACCCAGGTGAGAGCTTTCCTGGGTGACCTTGGCATGTCTGGGAAGCCAATGCACCAAGGGCTGGTGGAAAATGTTCCGTGCTTAGCCCCAGCAGCCGCGCCAGGCCCCTGTCCTGCATCCCCCTCTCTGCCACCAGCTGGGGAGTGAAACAGGACTGCTCCTCTTTGGGGCAAACCAAAAATTGGGCATGAGATGAAACACAAATGCATTTTTTTATCTGTAATTTTCCCTTTTAAGAGGTGTCAAAGTAGGTGTTATCTTTAAGATAGATTATCTGGGATGCATTTCAAGATTTGTTTCTTTTTCTCAGGTGCCAATGACTCTAGTGCAGCTGGCTGCTCTGGGAACGTGCTGAACCTCTTGGATGGGGGATGAAAAACTGTCTGAAGCGTCATGATTTCAACAAAACACTCCCACTCACACCAAGGGCAGGGACAGGTGTCCCTTAACACTTCTACACTTCATCTGAAAAAAAAAAAAAAACAGAATTAAAAATATGCTATACTTAAGCATTCTTTTTTATGTTATGCACCCTTAAATGCTTCAAGAGACTCTCAAACTAACATTTATGAAACAACAAGTTAAGACACACTCAAGATCTGGCTGACCTGCATCCCCTTGCTAAATCCCTTTGGATAGATTTGTTTGTTGGCAGCACTTTACCAGGGCAAATCTGATCAAATAGAGAAACATACATCTTCCTCAGCCACATCACCACAACTGTTTCCAGTTAAATAAGTCTGAGAGTACCAGATGTTTATGCTGTGATAAAGAAATGCACCCATCTTTAATAAATAATTACCAAATAAACCTTTATCACTTGGGTTGATTTCTGGTACAGATTGCTGATGATTAGATATAATTTGAGGTACAGCTCTGATCCGCTATGATTTCTGTCACATGGACAGTGTAATTTACACTGGGAGAAAATTAAAAGCTCCAGCTTCCGCCCCCAGCTCCAGCCCCTCTGGGGGCGCAGGGGAGGCGGGAGCGCTGCCCTGGGAGGGGGGTTGCTCTTCCAAGGCTTGGGATGGCCCCAGGGGAGGCCTGGCCTCTTGGCCCAGTTCACAGTGATTGCGGCCGTGGCCTTTAAAGTGACCGAGAGAAGCAACCGCTCACGCTGCGGAAGGTGGGTCCCTGCCAAAAGGTCTGGGCTGTCCCTATGCTGCTGCCGAGCGGGACCTCCAAAATCGTGTCCAATGTGTGCAGGATGGGCCCTGTTCCTTGGAGGAAGGTCCCTGTGGGCATGGGCAGAGTGTGGAGTCTCCTCTCAGCTGGGTCGCGGGCAGCAGCTACACAGGAGAGCGCTGCCTGTCCCCACGCTGCCACGGCCCGCACAAAACCCCCTTCCCGCGTTCCTGGTAAGCAAAGCAAGCAGCCCTTCCCACGCGCCGGGTGAGCTGGGCTCACTGCAACGGCCCAGCCTCGCCTCTCCGCTTTGTCAGACGTTGTTATTTTAACGTGCTTCCAGTAATTAACTGGGCTGCAGATAGTGCAGACCTGTGATAACGTACCTGAATCCAGACTTCTCCACAAACTGATAAACCCATCGAGGTGCAGCTTAACAGCACTGCCCCTCATGACTCCATGAGGCGCACCGTGTTAGCAGACACAGCGCTACCAACCCCAGCCATCTACGTGGTAACAGTCCAACACAACCACCTGCGCTGTGCGCACCGTCAGCGCAGCGTTATCCCCAACGAGCCCGATGACAGCGCAGGAGGAGGATGAGGTTGGGCAGCCAACAAGCACACGCTGGGCCTGCTCCAGGACAGCACTTTAGAGATCAATTAATCAATTAATAACCAATTAGACGTAGAAATAACCAATTAGAAACACACTCACATGAACAACATATTGTTTGTTCTCCTAACTCAAATTTACTCAAATGTGGGGAGATTAAAAAAATCAACTTCATGTCTTTTCTCTCTATAAACAATCATAAATGCTTATATAAATGAAATCAGACTTCAGAGTGGTACAATTGCGACAGATTATGCACCTAGGGATGACAGTGAAGAGAAATAATTTTAGTAAATGACACCTTTTTAACCCACATGTGAACAGAGCTCAACAATACTTGCCTTGGAGGAGGCAGCACCTCCAGTTCTCTCCGCGCTGCCTCCTACCTGCACTAGCAGAACTGCAGCTACAGCCCCCCCCAAGCCAGGACAGTCACTTTTAGTGACCTACAGAGTAACCCATCAGTGAATCCTTAGCACAGGATGTGTGAGTTTGCCTAATTCGTTTGTCCAGGATGCTCATAATTGTTGGGCTGGGACACAACACACACACACACAGTTTCCAGAACCCTTTTTTTCTGTGCTGTTTCTGTAAGCCTGAACAGGCAGGAAGGTATTTATTTAAAACTCTGTATTGGAGCAAGCTATGCATTAGAAACGTTAGTGCATGGATAACTAGGAACAAAACTATCAAGGATGGACAACTAAAGGCTGGAGACCAGCTTGTAGGACAGGGAGACTTGTAACTGCTCCAAACACTTACCCATCTGAATTTATTGTCATGTATTGTAACTAGAAAATAATACATTACAGTTACTCAAAGTGAAGAAAGTGCATCTTATGTGCAGAAAGGTTGCAGCTTCGGGTAAGGAATCGCTTCAGAGCTCTGCTCTGAAGCCCAGAGAGGCGCTCACCCGGGCAAGGGAAGGGAGCAGCTGCCTGGTTTGGGAACTGAGGGGTGGCACGGTGTGCTGGGGGCAACCGCTGCCAAAATGCCACAGTTTGTCACATCTGACAACCCACTGAAGAAAGTTATCACCAGCTCAGGGCCTGACCCTGCATTCCTTAGGTAGACCAAAAATCCCTTTGAAGTCAATGAAGCGTCCTGCTCAGATAACTAAATCTGGATCTGGCAACCAATAGAAATTGCTAATACTTGAGGCGGGATTATTAAATCTTTGGCCCAAAAAGCAAAATAGCGTGCATGCAACATGGACTCACTTGCAGGCACCCTTCCAGCCCCACCACCACTGCTGCTGCTCTTATTAGAGGCTCCAGAAGTCAGAGCCGCTGTGTTTTCTGCGCACGCTGCTCTCCCCTAAGTGCTCTCCTCCGGCCAGCGCCTCGCTGAAGGTTTTGACAGCTCTGCATTCAGGAGGTCACTCATCAGTCCTCGGGGCAATTTGATTTAAACCTTCCGCGCTCAGCACGCCCGAGCGGCGGCGCCCGGGCGGACGTGCGCGCTCGCAGCCGCCCAAGGGCCGGCGCTGCGGCCCTCCAAACAAAGTCTGCGTCAGAAACACTCTGACCCGCAGAAAGGATCAGAAAAGCTCTCAGACAATTATTAAGATATTTTCCATTATTTTTTTTTGCTAAAAAGGGATATAAAGAGGGTATAACAAAGAACAATTTTGATGCACTTTTCCAGGCCGCAATGTGTTTAAAGAGAAACTTTTCCAGCCTGTCCATTTTGGAAGGCTGTCTTGTCCACCTTCCCTTAAGAGCTATGCTCATTTCATATTTGTTCACGTTTTCCAAGCTGCCTTTTTTTTTTCTCCCCCCTCTCTTTTCCTCAATCCCAAGTCTCTCTATGAGATGAAAACCTGAAACCTTCAATGTGCAATTTGTTTAAGCAAAAATATCAAATTAAGGACAGCTCAGCAAAACAAAACATTTTTCTACAGAGTCACATGAATGTAAACTAAGCATTATAGGGATGGTCTACCTCATTATCCCCTTTGGTGGCTGTTTGGACTCCGATTAGACTGCTAATGGTACACGTTCCACACAGAAAAAGCAATTAAGGCTCTACTTCAAAGAAAAATAATTTCGTGTAAGAGTACTGAGCAAGCAATTGTATCTGACACTGGTTTGGGGACGAGGTAGAGCAATGGAGCAGCTTTTAAATGCTTAATTCCCATTCCTAACCCTGGAGGCAGGTCGGCATTGAGCACATTTTAAACACATCTCGGCACGGTAAGTGTTTGGGACCAGACGCATGGATTTGTTTGTGGAGGTGGTGTCTGACCGCAGGTAAACAAGGGAGCGCCTTTCACTTTACATGAGAACTGCACATTTATTCCTTTAGATAAACGCCATGTTGGAAAGGGGAGGCATTAAAATAAACAAACTGCCCTAAGAAAGCAGAATCTAAAAGAATGTCATTTGATAAAACCCGTGTGAAGACTCCAACATTACAACAAACCATTAATGAGAAGCAGAAAAGAATACAAATAAGTGAACAGTATGAAGAATGACTGCTGAGAAGCCGGTCTTCTGTTTCAAGGCGGCTGCATTATTTTTGATGACAAGAAATGACTTAAAACTATTAAAAATCTCTCTCTCCAATATTAGCTACTTCGTATGTATTCTAGCATCTTCTTATTTTAATTAGATAAATTCCATTCTGGAAACTTGAAAAGCCTCCACAGTGGATATGATGCACTTGCTAAATAAATTCATAAAAAATATTTAAGTTACACTGAAAAAAAAAAAAGAACAAAAGAGAAAGACCATCTGAGACGCACACATTTTTTTTTTTTTTTTTGTAAAGACACAGTTAGTAAAACAGCACCAAAACTGAGCTATGGATTGACAGGACAAATCAAACGTCAAAGAAGATAGAGTGAGATAATGAGAATGAGTAGAAAAATGATTAGCATACT